AGGCCGCTGAGTCTTGTGGTCGCAAATGGCTTGGGGTGGCAAATCTGGCGGATGATGAGGAGCTGCGGTCGCGATCAGTACGACTGTCACCTCGGTAGCTACGAGCGTTTCGACCAGGAGTCTCAGCTTCCCATTCTTTTTCACGTCTTTTCCGGGCACTCTCGCGTTCGGCGATGTCTGGGTACTTTCTACGACGGTCGTCGTCTGTCTCAGTGCGTCGCTCTAGATGCAAAACACACAGATGTGTGTAAGAGAATATCTCAAAAAGTGAAGAGTCGGAACAACTTTAGCCCGCTGAATCCCAGGGGCCAGGATCAAAACAATCAACCGGAAATCGTGCAATAGGTTTGTCTAATCACCAGAACGATTTAGATGTATTAGCGCGAGAGTCGAGGCCAAAAAAGTAACTTTCCAGACATGTGGCACATGGATTATACCACAAAACACACGAATGACAGTGAGCTCAAAGCCACGTCGTATTAGGAAGAGTTACTAATAGAGGGGCCACTACCCAATTAAGCTCAGACCCATGTTAAGACGAAGCTTCGACAATACGGTCGACTTTGTAGCGTGGCTATTAGATCTGGGCATCTTTAACACGGACCACAATCTGTAACTGAGGTAAGACATTAATCATGCCTCCACTGCCCGGTAAGGTTTACTATCAGTACAAATACCAGAAAATTGAACGGACCATTACTTTGATCCGTCTTCATATGATAATGGTCAGACTTCACAGGAATTGGCATCTGCTTTGGGATATTGAAATTGTAAAGGTGAACTCAACACAAGGTTGAGGCACGATTGCTGGAATCAGACCAATAATTCATGGCAATACAGTTTATGACCAACTGTGGTAAGACCCGCCTTCTGTTAGTCTGTTAATTGCAGTGTAAACATTTCCAGGCTCTTTATTCAATCTGAAATCATGCGTTATGCACTAACGAGAGCAGACTAAAATCCAGGGCTATTGAACCATGCTACCCCCCGTTTTTTTTTTAGCCTGGACAGGGTTGATATAAACACGACCTATACGTATATACATCAGATAAAAACCGTGCACATCATCGACCATCAAAGACGCCGGTGAATAAACTTGACTCGGCGTTGCCGACGCAAGCTGATTTTGAAAGTTAATCAGTGAAATAATACAGGAAATGAGCGAAAAATCCCCAACAGAGACTTTAATAACTAGAGACCAGAAGACACATTTCGAGTTACTTCGATTAAAAGAAGTTGATGCAAAGGCGTGGTGGATTAACTTGGAAATACTTCAAGATTAAAACTAGTACATCAGAATGTAGATTTCAGTGAAGGTGGGCCCAAAACACATCAAGGACTACAAGTAAAATTCGCACCCATTTGACGGCAGAAATCACTCACAGAGGGGACTAATGTTTTTTCCGAAACTGCTGAATAAATGATACCTAATAAGGAAGATGCGCTGCAGTACACAATAGTTGGGAAAGACTGTTACTATTATATACAACCCAAGCTACGTGGGAAAAAACTGACGCTCAAGACTCGTGATTTATACAATACCGCAGTCACGTTTGAATAAAATTTAAATGGAAAACATAGACAGTATTTACACAGAACAAGCAAATACCTCTAGAGCTGTGTTTGAATGGTTGACCGGTTTTGTATGCCAGACCAGCCTTGAATTTTTCAGCCTGTTCTCTACTCTTCTTGTAGCTCTGAGAATCTATATACTCTTTGCTGACGCCACCACCGTATGAAGGAGTTTCAACACGAGGTTCGCGGTAATTCCTAGAGCGATCAAAAGCACAAAGGGACGCTTACCTGTTTTTATACGCAGACGTGTGTATAGCACTGCTGTCGGAATTTCTAAGACTCTGATTCGAGGCCTCCGCTCTTTTTCTTTCGGCCAATTTGTCAAGGCCGAATAAGGAACCCTGTGGCTTCTTAAATGTATCGGTGGGCGTCGTGGGATTAATAAGACCTCCAGTTTCGTTCTTGTCAGACCCCTGCAGTCTGTCAACGGATGCAAAGGAATCCATAATTCAGCAGAAAACTGGGAAATAATGCAACATGAGACTTAAGGATAATCCGTGGGCAAATAAAAGTGCCTAAATGTCGAACGCTTGAAGGAAAAACAGCGCTGAAATCTGACTGTGTAAGAGCGGGCTGTTAAACACATCGGTCAAAGCCACTCGATTTTCAAGTTTTCAGATTACCGGAAGACTCCATAATTAGTCTAGGAATTAAAGCCGTCGGCATAAAAGAGCAGATATGATAAAGTGCAATGGCAGTTAACAATGATTTATTTGTTATCGAGTTTTTCACAATGGACCTTGTGTAAGAACAAAATGAATTTAATCAAAACACTACGACAGGGACAAAAATAATTAGTCGAATGAAATGGCCCAAAGGCTAACTATGTAAAACAATATATAACATGCCAGTCTAAGATGAATAGCCAAAAAAGAAGTCTGAGCATAACAAGTGTATATATGAACTGAATTGCAACAAAGTGATTGATAGCACAAGCAAAGAAGGCACTCCTTTTCAGCAGTAAAACCAGACTACTGATAGCTGCGACACAGAGAGGTATTATATGCTCCTGTTACGCCGACAGCATAATCGGATCAAAAATCCATAGCAGTGTGAGCAGCTATCTGCATGCACCGACATAACATTTTCAGATGACCATAGTTCCAGAAAGAATTAAGACGCTTAAACAATTGACTCCTAAACTGGGTCTAGGAATTATATTTCGATAAAATCTGCTGAGAAATGACAATTCTAAAAATCGCAAAACTGGTTGAAAAATTTTGGACATTCCCAGGATTTAGCAAATAACTTCTCAAGCAGTGTAGCTTAAATAATGATTCTAACTTTTTTCACGATTTGTTGCTGTCCAAAAGAGGGCCTTCTCGATTATCGATCACCAAACGTGTTAAGATCAAACTCTGCCTATTACACCGTCCCAAGCTTCCGTAAAAACATAGTTTAACGTTTACGAGAGCATCACACGGATCCGCCCATAAGTTCATTGTCGGCCCACAAAATAATCGTAAGGACATCTGATGTCGCCTCGGAAGCATGATTAATAATAATAATAATAATAATAATAATAATAATAATAATAATAATAATAATAATATCATTATTATTATTATTTAATACCAGTTTGTAGGCATTGTCAGGGAAGTGTTAAACACAAATTCGGCCAGCAGTGAAAAAAGCAGTCAAAAAGGAGTAAAAATAAAGATGATGACGGTTTGGAGTGTTCAGGAGGAAAAATACTCTGACCACCTACTGCCGACAGGCAAGAAGGGAGGGGTTGCACTGTATCAGATATTATCAGTCGCTACTTATTTTCATGAAGTTGGAGTTCGTTCTGGCAGACGCGCCGAAGAAATACTGCCGCTGTTGACTCAAGAAATCGCCCCTGCCGAGACCGGAGTTTGATATCAGAGACCTCAAACTCCATTGCTACGGCAAAGTCGATTAGTGGGTTCAGCACGCCGAATTTTTGGGACATTTTCTGAATGCGAAAATCAGGTAATAGTTCTCTTTAATAAACGATAACTGTGCGGAGGTTTTACATTGCTGGGTAGTTTATTCCACATAGCAATTGCATTTACAGAAAAGAACCGACGATATTTAACAGTACGTGCCAGAGGAAGAAATAAAAAGACCTCACGGTGACAGTTACGTCGGGGGGTGAACATGCGGCCTTAATGTAGTAAGTGGGGTAAAGGTTCGAATATAAAGAAGCTTAAATAGCAAAAATAGTCTCTTTTGTTATCTACGGAAGCATAAACGATCAAGGCCCGTAAGCCGGCAGCGTTCTTGGTAATGATGGTGATGATGGTAGAGGAGGGTAGGGTGTGTGTGGATGTGTGGTGTAACCGGCGGTTGTCTACCGCAGGTCGTCGTGGATGCGCATGTGGTCGAGTAGGCCCATGCGATGCCTGAAGGTGTGAGGGCAGTGTGGGCAGTTGAGTCGAGCTTGGTGGGTATAGGTTGGTGCTCCAGGCACTGGTCCGCCAGTCTCTGTGTGATTGATTCGCAAGTGACCGACCAAGCCGATGTGTGAGATGAAGTTGCGGTCGCAGTGAGGGCAGGTGTAGTCCTGATCCTCATCGCTGGAGTCGGGGTAGGTGGGGGTGGTGTCGGTTGTTGTGTCGGGGTTGGTGATGTGCGAGACGGTGGCCTGAGCGGCCGCCGTTGGGGCAGTGGTGGTGGTGGTGGTGGAGGAGGAGGAGGAGGAAGAGGATGGAAGTGGAGGATCAGAAGAATTGGCGGCAGAGAGGACGAGGAAGAGGCGGGCGAGGATGGCTGGAGCAGTTCGAGAGGTGCAGTTGATCCGAAGATGTCCAACAAGTCCGATTCGTGTCCGGAATGTCCGTTGACATCGAGGACACGTAGGGAGCGGTTGTGCAGCGGCGTTGCGTACTGGGCGAGATTGTGATTTGCGGGCTTCGCGTTTCACTTTGGCGGCGGCGATGCGGTTGGTTTCGTAGATAGCAGCGCCCGTCTTCACTGTTCTCTTTCATGTCGGACGATCGCGAGCGAGCTCTTCCCAGTTGGTCGGGTTGATTTGTAGACGCTTCAGGGAGAACTTCAGGGTATCCTAGTAACGGCGAATTTGGCCTCCTTGGCAGCGAGGACCCGTCGCGACGTCGTCGTATAAAAGTCATTTGGGTAGCCTCTCGTCGTCCATGCGCACCAGGTGGCCGCTCCAGCACAGCTGAATTTGTCGCAGCATGGCGTAGATGCAGAGGATTCCCGTCCGTTTGAGTGCATCAGTGTCGGGGATACGATCCTGCCAGTTCAGCCTCAGGATTCGACGGAGACAAATGAGGTGGAAGTGGTTCAGTCGGCGCCCCTGTCTCGGGTACACCGTCCATGTCTCTGCTCCGTACAGCAGCGTCTGGAGGATGACGGCATTGTACATCTTCCTCATCGTGCTCAGTTGGAGACCATGAGGATTCCAAACTGTGCTTTGGAGGCGACCGAAGGCATGACTGGCTTTCGAGATCCTGTTAGCGACCTCGTCATCGATCTTGGTGTTGCGGGATGGGGTACAGCCCAGGTACGGGAAGTTCCCCACCACTTGCAGTTGGGTTCCGTTCACGTTGATTTGCGGCGCGTTGGGGGGAGTGGCTGATTTTGGTGGCAGTTGGTGCATCACCACCGTCTTCTGCGTGTTGATGACCAACACAAAGTTCTTGCAGGCGACAGAGAAGAGGTTAGTGCTCCGTCGCATCTCATCTTCCGAGGTGGTGTTCAGGGCGCAGTCGTCGGCGAAGAGAAGCTCGTGAACGGTGGTTAGATAGATAATTTTTATTAAAGACCCGTCGGGGTCCCATCAAAGCAAGTTAAAATAAATTTACGTGCGAGTTTTAGACGAGGTAGGCCGAATCTTTACAAAATGCAGGTCATAGTTTCTGAATTAGGAGTCCATTGAGAAACATGATGATTGAGGTGTGAAAAAAAACTCCTTACAAAAAGTTAAAAATGATTGGATTAATTTTACAGGAGAGAAAAAAACCCCTCAATAAAAATAATGACGGAAAAAAGCGAACAGGACTGGCCTGTAGGTGGCGGTATATAACGGAATGTTGTCGGTCATCGTCAGGGTAGCAATAAATGCCAGCCTTGATGGGTACGAATGTGGGTCAGACAGGACTGGCTTGCAAATGGCATTGTATACGGGATTCACAATTGAGATCGTCTGGGCCTGATTGGTACGCCGCGTCAAAGAGGCCAGAAGAGAGGAACCCAGATGCGATCGGCCACAGCACGCTTCGAGCTCAGTCGAGCAGTGAGGAAGGGAGTTACGACCGAACTACTAGTACACAGTGAATACTGAGGGTTCCGCCGTGAGCGTCGACATACCGCATGAGGTCGGAATGCGGGAGATGACATCAAAAACCGCGAAAATTATCGCTATGGGGGGAAGGATAGCAATGGATTTAGAAACCAATTCAAAACAGGGGTTTCTAATGATATAATTAAGAGTTACCACTTGATCTACCACTAAATCCCAGGAGGACCCTTCTCAAAGTCAAGAATCTGAGTGTTCGGGAATGAGACCGTTAACAGTGCCTTTATGCTTTCCGGTGTAAGATGTTTGCGCAATTTCGACTTGAATACTAGTAACTTAGGCGATAATCTAATTTCAGGCGGAAGATTATTCCAAAGGAAGGCATATTTGGAAGCAAAGAAGAGGGAGCGCTTAGATGTAGTACAAAGAGGCGGCGGAATCACCATGCAGGAGTTGCGCGTGGCATAAGACCGATCTCTCGGAGTGAGAGTGTCAATGTGCGGAAGACTGGAGCTAGAGTTGATGCGAAAAAGGAAGCAAAGGCCAGCTTCGAGTCTTCTAACCCACATATCTGCGCGGCTTTGGCAGAGATTATATCTGCATGAGGTGATAAAGCAAGCTTATTTGTATAACTTAGACCTAGGTCCTTTATGGTGAGGCATTCTGAGAGTGGGTTATTCTGAAAAATTATGGGACCAGTAAGTTTGGTAGGACCAAAAGACATAAAACTACACTTAGATGATGAAAACTCCATCTGCCATGTCGAACCCCATCTGCTTAAGCGTAGTAAATCGGCATTAATCTTTTCAACACAAACATTTGCGGTGTCCTTAGAGTATGAGTAAACACACTTGAGGTCATCGGCATAAGTAAAAGTTTGCGAATTTCCGAGTTCAGTCGAAATATCATTGATGTACAGAAGGAAGAGTAGCGGACCCAGAACCGTTCCTTGAATTACGCCACTCAGGATTGAGTGGGGTGTCGAGTAGCTATTACCGACCATGACTTTCTGATATCGGTTGGACAGATAGGATCTGATGAAGTCGAGTAGAGGCGGCCGGATGCCGAGAGCTTCCAATTTTACTAAAAGACGTCTATGGGGCACCTTGTCAAAGGCTTTGCTAAGATCAAAGTAAATAACTACCACTGACTGCCGCTCATTACGAAGAGAAGTGATTAGATTAAGAAAAGCCAAGTGACATGTTTCGCAGGATCGTTCAGGTACAAATCCATGCTGACTAGAGCTCAGAAGCCGATTAGCTAGACAGAAGTCAAGAATTTCATTGAAAATAATCCTTCCAAGAAGTTTTGCTAAAGACGGCGTTTTGTGCACGCCCCGATAATTATTAACATCGGACCGAGATCCTGACCTAAAAAACTGGAATGATAATTGGCGTTTTCCATGTTTCAGGAAAGAATCCTTTTGAAATATAAACCAAGAATAAATGACTGAGCAATATGGGAAGGTCGGACGCTTGTTTAATAATCGAATTCGGAATCTCGTCCGTTCTTGAGCAGTGTGAGTATTTCAAACGGCTTATGTGTTTCTTAATGAGATCTGAGGAGACATCAATTGTACTCAGTGTCTTATCTCAATTCAATTCAATTCAATTATTTTTATTAAAGACCCGTCGGGTTCCCATCAAAGCAAGTAAAAATAAATTTACATGCGAATTTTATGCGAGGTAGGCAAAATCTGTAGAAAGAGCAATACATAGTTTTTGAGATTAGATGTCCATTACGCAAAATGAAAAACGAGGGGTGAAAAAAAAACTCCAAAGCAAAATTTAAAAATAATTGTAGTAATTTAACAGGAGAAAAAAAAACCTTAAAAATAGCATCAGAAAAATGCAGGGAGGACTGGCCTGCATGTGGCGGTACAGAATGGAATATAGTCTGACATCAACATGGCCGAAATAAATGTCAGCTGTATATGGCATTGTGTAACGGATTTCATAGAATGGTACGTAGGCGGGTCGGTCAGGACTGGCCTGTATCGCCCTGAATAAGAAAAATAAGTGGCGAAATTGAAAACCAGTCTCGAGCTGATAGGAACCCAGATGCGGTCGGTTACATTCAACCGAGTCCATCCGAGCATGGGGGAAGGGAGATGCGACCAGACTACTAGTATATGGCGAAAATAGAAGGCTTTGTCAAGAACGCCGATGGAGCGCATTCTGTAAGGGCACGATGACAACCAGTCTCGAGGCGACAAGAACCCAGATGCGGTCGGTTACATTCATCAGAGTCCATCCGAGGTTAGGGCAAAGGAGATGCAACCAGATTACTAGTATATGGCGAATATAGAAGGCTTCGCCAAGAGCGTCGATGGAGCGCATTCTGTGAGGGCACCATGAAAATCAGTCTCGAGGCGATAGGAACCCAGAAGCGGTCGGTTACATTCATCCGAGTCCAACCGAGGATGGGGTAAGGGAGATGCGACTAGACTACTAGTATATGGCGAATGCAGAAGGTTTCGCCAAGAGCATCGATGGTGCGCATTCTGTGAGGGCACGATGCATGAACTGAAAAATTGGAATAATAAACCTTTCTGGTGAGGGATCTTAGGTAGAGTGACTACTCATAAAGGAAGGAAACGTGAACAGATACGGAAATTTAATAGCGGCATGCTAAATTGCCGGTGGCCCTTTGTCAGTGTCATAGAAAATGTTGTTTGGGAAGGATGAGGAAAATAAAAGTTTAATCGAGTCAGTATTCAGATAAAGGCGTAACCTTCTCTTAAACGTGTGTAGATTTTCTGAAGATCTTATATTTATTGGAAGGTTATTCCAGAGGAAAGTATACCTGGAAGCGAAAAAAAGGGAGCGCTTAGAGGTGGAGGACGCTGGAGGAGGTATAATTAGAGACGAATTGCGAAGACTGTATGGGCGACTACTAGGGGTAAGTGTTGAAATCCGAGGAAAATTAGAACTATGATTAATGCGAAAGAGGAGACAGAAGCCCGCTTCTAGTCTTCGAACCCATAAAAATTTTAGGTTAATTAGCTGGCATCTATCTGAGTAGGAGATATTGGGATGTTCCCTATCTAAAAGTTTTTTAGAAAAACGTCTTTGGACATTTTCAATTTTTAAACGACTGGCTTCATTCATCAAACCAAAGAATGGGCAACAATACTCGAGAATGGGAAGTACAAACATACGATAGAGCCTTCATTTAATTTAAGGAAGATAGAAATTGTAAGAAATAAAGCCACAAATCTGGGCAGCTTTGGCTGTAATTCTGTCAGCGTGCGGCGAGAGATCAAGATTACTAGTGTAGCTTAAACCTAAATCCTTGATGGTGGTACATTCAGTCATAGGTGTGCCTTGAAAGACCACTGGTTGGGGTAGCCTATCAGGTCCAAAACACATATAACGACATTTAGACGGAGAGAATTCCATTAGCCATTTTGAGCTCCAAGCTGAGAGAGCAAGCAAGTCAGCATGGATTTGCTCCAGGCAATGAAGGCTCGTAGATTTATTGAAAGAATATGCACATTTGAGATCATCGGCATAAATAAATGATTGAGAATGTTTAACTGCTGCTGAAATATCATTTAGGTAAAGCAAGAACAAAGGAGGACCTCAAACGGTACCTTGTAGGACACCGCTTACAATAGGGCTTTCACTGGAAAGTGAAGATCCCACCAAAACCTTTTGTGTACGATTAGACAGGTATGACCTGAGAAAGTCTATTAGTGGACTGCGAATTCCCATAGCTTCCAATTTAATCAAGAGTCTTTTATGTGGCACTTTATCAAAGGCTTTACTAAGATCAAAATAAATTACGACAACAGATAGGTGATCATTACGAAGAGAGGTAAGTAGATTGAGAAACGACAGATGACATGTTTTACAAGAGCGATCTGGTAAAAAGCCATGCTGGGAAGGGCTAATAACTTGATTGGTTATGCAAAATTCGGTAATTTTTACGGCGATAATTTTTTCAAAGATTTTGGCGAGAGAGGGTGTTTTATGGACACCTCGATAGTTCTGTACGTCAGAACGGCAGCCAGACTTAAATACTGGAATAATAATAGAAGTTTTCCAATAGTCAGCGAAGAAGCCATTTACGATAAATACTGGAAAGATTTTGCTAAGCAGAGGAGGAAAATCTCTTAGCTGTTTTATCAAGGAGTTTGGGATATTGTCCGTACCTACTGAGTGAGAGTTAGGAAGATGGCTAATCAGTTTTTGAGTACATTCAGGAGAAAAATTAATGAAGCTAAGAGAGGCATCAGACAACGAAGGAATTAAAGGGATCGGATCAGTTTCAATGGTGAAATGAACGAATTTAAAAATTCTGCTTTGCCTGACTCCTCTGTAATGAAGGCATCACTTGCACTAAGCAAGGGCGGAATGACTTGGTGGGACTTAGCAGATGATCTCTGACGGAAGATCTGAGCAACTGATTTAGAAGCATTCACGTCATTTATAGCTAAATACTCTCTACGCCTATCTCGCTCGAGCCTCATTTTCGAAGCTAATTCAAATATTTCAACGATTCTTATATGAACTGATAATGAGCTCACAGAAGGATCTTTAAACTGCTTCCGTAACATTTAAGTCTGCTTTTAAGAAAGTGTGGGATAGCGGTGGAATTAGCACTCGATTTGAACATCTTCCGAGGAATAAGGTCAAGAAGACCTTCTGTTACGCATTGTTATAAATTGTCGAAAAAATTTAGATCATTATTTGAAAAAATATTGTGCCAATCAAGAGTGCATGTAAAGTTATTTACTAATTCCTTGTTAACATTAGCAAAGTCAAAAATACTACGTTGAACTGTTGGCTTTGCGGAAATGGCAACTGGAAGGCGACAATGGATTAATGCATGATCACTTGCAAAGAGGTAATGATAAAAATCCATAGATAAAGGAAATGTGCCATTAGCAAAAATTAAGTCTAAAACACTATCGTTTCTGGTCGGAGAGTGAACTAATTGAGTCAGGTTTGAAAAGTAAATTGTGTCAAGCAGCTTCTGGAATTTAGGAGGAGAAGTATGCGTGTGCCAGTCAATTTCTGGCAAATTAAAATCGCCTACGATTATCTTGATATCGAAAGAAGTTTCTGCAATTTTTTCAAAGAGTTCACAAAGTTGGCTTTCATTTCCAGAGTAACAAGGAGGATTATATACACATCCGACTAAGGCTTTCCTATTTTGCGGAAGGATTACCGAAGCAAAACATAAATTTCCAGAGAAGGAGGAAATGTTCAAGTTATAAGGCGATTGTGCAAGTGATGCTCTTATGTAAAGAAGGCATCCACCGCCGCGTCTGTCGGCACGATCCTGTCGGTATAAACTGAGGCTATCTATATTAAGTGTCGAGTCTGAAATTAGAGAGTGGGCCCAAGATTCTGTAATGCACAATACGTCTGTGTCAAACTCAACAGCTACACTTCTTAGGTGTGCCATCTTTTGCACGACAGATCTTGCGTTGAGAGAGACAATACTGAGCGTATTCCTAATATGTAGGTTCCGCTCATTGCTACTTATAAAAAAGGATGAGCCGGAGGTGGAAAATTAAGCTGTTGGAACGAAGCAATTGGTGGAGGACACAGTTGCTGCGGTCTAAAAATTATGGGGTAATTACTAGCTAGAGATGCAGTATTGGGTGGAAAAACATTTGAGGAGGACCCGGGAAGAGGAAAACTATTTTGTTGGGTTGGAAAAATAGGAGACAAGAAAATAGGATTTTGGGAATTGTTAGCATAATATGAGGGGTAGTTTATGTTAGGTGGCGGAGGTAATGGTTTCAGGAAACAGTTAACATCAGGAAAGGGCTTTATTATTTGGGGTGTCAGACTAGCAATGGAATTGGAAAATTTATCAGCAATGCAATATACTTGCATTTTGCAGTCCGATGTGTAAGAGGGCTTCACAACTGTGGCGTTAAGTTGAGAATTCAGGATAGGAACAGGTAAAGACCTCCCTGAACTCTCATCTAGCTTATTTGACCTAACTGCAAGGTCAGACCTGAGTGGCCAGGCGTGGGAACGGGGTGGATTCGATGTAAGTTTATTAACTAAATCACTATTCTGAGTGCTGGGAGCCGGTTGTGCTTCAAGGACTGGCTCATCTTTACTGCTAAGATCAAGCTCCCTTGTAAATTTGGGAGCCGCATTTGAACAATCCTTGCTCCGTGGGGGAGTTTTAAAGAGGCTAGTTTTAACCATCTCTGTGATAATGTGATCAGTCGAAGAGCTAGATGGAACTGGGGCCGCTGTAGATAGTGGGGGGATTTGGTCGACACCAGATGGAGAAACTGCTTTAGAGGTAAAAGGCATTTGAGTAGAATTCGGGGGTGGCTTTACGTTTGGTAATGGGGGAGAAACTTTACGTTGCAGTGGAGTTTGATCTCGACTAATAAAAAGTTTATTTGCCCTGAGATATTGAGTTGATCGCTCCAAATGGGAGAAAATAAAATCCACTTCTATCGATGAAAAGAGTTTGACAAGAATGGGTGGATTCTTGCTCCTAGATGAAAGCCTTTTGGCTTCCGCGACCCTAAAGTTGAAGCCGCATGAAAAAAGGAATTGAAAGGCAACATCAATTGGCTGTCTACTCTTGGGAACGTTTTTTAATATAAAGTTGAAACTTCGTTTGTGCCTGTCTTCAGTCTCAGTCGCAACCAGGTTAATGAGGGGCATGAGCTTCTCACACTGCTGAGACGTAAGCGTTGGCAACTTTCCGTCAAGAAGGGCACCAAGAACAGAAAAAATTGATCCGCAACGAGACATATAGTTGTTGTAATCATCAAGCGCCCCTAGATCAATTTTTTTCATATGAACAATGAGTTTCAAATGGAGTTTAGTTTCCTTTAGATTTCGACGAAGGGTTGCCTGAGGTTTCATGCCGAAACCGCAATACAAGACTTAAGTCCAAATATTTATATGGATGCTAACTGCCGAAAATTCGACGATATATGGATGAGGCTATTTATGATGAAACGATTTCTGATAGCTGCCAATATTGGTGGACCAGACAGCACAATTTATACTAAGCAAGTTTTACTCAATACCAGAATGCAAACTTGAAAAAAACGGGCAAATGACAATTTCGTAGGTGGCAAAACAGAACTATGAATAAATCTGAATTGGATAATGAGGCTATGTAGGATAAAATAGATAACAGTATAATTCTCAATAAACTGACGATGAAAGCCGTCAGTGGAGACGGTTTATCGTTTTAAATGTAATGTTAATCTATATTTTTACGAGGAAAACCATTTGTATATGCAGGTAAGACTTGATAGAATTGAGGCTATGTTGGGTGAAAAACTGCGACAATTGATTTCTGCTTTATGACAAATCCCAGAAACACGACAGGAAGCGAAGATGACTTATGACAAAAAATAGAAAATTTTGTCAGATCTACACCGAAAAACTGTGCAAGAGATTAAGAAATTGAATCCTAAAATATAACTTTCACTTATCTTTTCAAAATGGTGCTGCGCGCCTTGACCTTGACCCACGTCGAGATCGAAAGAAAGGGACCTGATTGGACTCGGTAGCAAGGTGTTTTGCAAAGAAAGCACTAAACAACTCCGCCTTGTCAGTGTCATCGGTGAGGAAGACTTTGTTATCATTTAGCATGGGTGGAAGTTCATGACCACGCTTAGAGGAGGACCGATGACGGAAGATGTTAGCGACGGATTTGCCAGGGTTCGAACCACTGAGAGCAATTGATTCTCTTTGCCTGTCGCGCGCTTGGCGCATCCTTGAGGCCGTCTCAAAAATCTCTGTGATTCTAAGATGAACTGATAAGGAACTAGTGGATAGGACACGCAGTTGTCGCCTCAATTTTTTTAGTCTGTTCTGAAGAAAATGAGGAACAAGAGAATCTGAAGAATTAAGCTTGAGATATCTACGCGGCACAAACTCTAGAATGTCCTTGGAAACATTGGACATGACATCACGAAGAATGGTTACATCGCTACAAGTGAGGAAGCCACACCAATCCAAGGATTTCATATAGTTATTTATTAAGTCGCTATCTACGCAGTCGTAGTTCATGAAAGTCCGAACGGCGCTTGTCTTTTTTGAAAAGGCAAGCGGTAGGCAACAATGAACTAATACGTGGTCACTGTCAAAGAGGTCCTTTTTTAAAGCAACAGAAAGAGGAGCAATGTCATTGGTAAAGATTAGATCTAAAATGTGATTATCTCTTGTTGGAGAGCGCACCAGTTGGGACCAATTAGAAAAATTGACAATATCACGAAAGGGCTGGAATCTGGGTGGGTAGCTATTGGAAACCCAGTCAATTTCAGGAAGGTTAAAATCCCCAGTGATTATTTTAACATCGAAAGCAGCTTCCGAAATTAATTTAAAGATTTCACAGAGTTGAGAATCATCTCTGGCTAAAGAATTTGGGGGATTGTAGATACAGCCAATAATTGCCTTTCTTTGCGGTGAGAGAATAACAGATGCAAAGCAGAAGTTTCCCGTGAATGAGGAAACATCCAAGTAATAGGGAGAGTGCTTTAGGTAGGATTTAAGATAAAGAAGACAACCACCCCCACGCCTAGTCGTGCGGTCTTGGCAGTAAAAATCGAAGTCATCTATGAGAAGGGCAGAGTCAGGAATTAGAGAATGGGTCCAAGATTCTGTTACACATATAATATCAGGCGTCATTTCCAGAGCAATGGCTCTGACTTGGGCCATCTTGTTTATAACAGATCTGGCATTCAATAATATAATATCTAATGTGTTTCGAACGGCAATGCTATTTTCGACGGTATTTAAGAAAAATTGGAGGCGGATATGTAAGCTGTGAATTAATGACACTTGGAAAATAAGTACCAGTTAATTTAGAGTTATTGACGTATGGGGAGTCAGCAAGAGAAGGCTGAGTATGAGACCTAAAGGAGGTGGGATATAGTTTTCAAACATTGGAATGCTAGGGGAGTCAGAACATGGATAGACTTGTTGGTAGTTAAATAATGGAGGAAGGGGAGGAGGAGGAGGAGGGAGGCTAGAAGGAAAGTAGGGGCTAATGGGTGAGGGTTCGCGCGATGGGAAGTGCATCCGCCGTTGATTCAGAAGGTGACCGTCCGTCCTATAGGCGATGCGTATCCCGGGGCGTTCATCACGATAGGCGTCCATCAGCATGGCAGAGGACATGAGACTGAAGTGGGTGGGCGCCAGCACGCGTCCCTGCTTCACTCCGCTGGCCACTGCGAATGCCTCTGAGACAGCTCCGTTGTCCGTGACTCGCGCCATCCTGTCGTCGTGCAGCTGACGCACCATCGCGATGAATTGCTTGGGACAGTCGAATCTCTGCATGAGTTCCACAGTCCATCACGATTTACCGTATGGAAGACTTTCGTCAGGTCCACGAAGGTAGAGTACGGGTGGGTCCGCATCTCCTGACACTTCTGCTGAATTTAACAGACGGCGAGGATCATATCCGTGGTCACGCGTTGGCGGCGGAATCCGCATTGGCTTTCCGGCAGATGGCCCTCCTCTAAATGATTGAGGAGGATGCGAGCGACAATTTTCCCGGCAATATCCGGCATGGAGTTGCCTCGGTGATAGTCGCAGACTTGGCGGTTTCCTTTTTGCTTGCATACATACACGATTGTTGCGTCTTTGATATCATGTGTGACTTCTCCTTCACGTCAAATGTCATGGAAGAGCGAAGTCAGGTGATGCATGAGTTTGGGCCAACGTGCTTTTTGACGTCAGCAGGGATCGCATCCGATCCGGGTGATTTTTGGTTAGAGAGCTTCTGCACGGCGCTGATGGTTTGCTGGACAGATAGCGAGAGGTCGAGGTTCACTGGTCTCCACTTGTTGCAGACGGGCGATGGCGGCGCCGGACATGGTGGAGGAGCGGTAAAGGACGCCTCGGAAGTGCCCGGCTCATCGCTGTAGAATTTGTGTCTTCTCATTCAGGAGGATAATACCGTCGGCTCTGAGAAGAGGAGCAGTGCTGGTGGTTGGCGGACGGTAGACAGCTTTGATAGCGGAGAAGTTCTTTCATTTATTGTGATTCGCGTGCCCTTGGATCTCCTCGGCTTTGCGAGCAGTCCAGGCGTCCTGCATATCGCCCATCTGCTGTTGCACAGGGCGGCGACTACGGTAGATGGCTCTTATGTTGTCGTCTGTGGGGTGGTCTACGTAGGCTTTGTGTAGGCGGTCCTGCTCGGCGAGCAGGTTGCTCATGGCGGCCTCGTTGTCGTCTAAGCAGTCCTGTTGTTGGCGTCGTATGTGACCGAGAATAGTCATCACTGTCGACCTGAGTGTGCCCCGTAATTGACACTATTGTTTCTTCACGGGGGCGTTCTCGTCAACGGCGACGACTGGAAATCTGATAAGCTGTTGAGCTATCCCGTTGCCGCTGTGCAGATGATGAGCAGGCAAAGACAACAAGGCAGCATTAAGCTTACCTGGGGGTCGCTTACCTTGTGGTCTCCTGCCAGGCTGTAGGCGAATACGCATCTTCGAGATGACGAGGCGATGGTCGGTCCAACCGTCAGCACACGCGATCGCCTTCGTCACCAGCATGTCCCGCTTATCTCGCCTCCGGACGAGGACGTAGTCCAGCAGGTGCCACTGACGCGACCGAGGATGCCTCCAGGTGGCCTTCTCTCGCTCCGGCAGACAGAAGAAGGTGTTCGTCAGAATGAGGCGGTGTTCTGCGCAGGTGCGGAGAAGCAGCAGTCCGTTGTCGTTGGAGCCGCGGAGACCATGGGACCTAGCACTCCTCTCCAGGCAGTATGGTCTGTGCCGACGCGGGCGTTGAAGTCACCAAGGACAATCAACTTGTCCGCCTTCGACACAGTCGCCGAGAGGGCGTGCAGGTCCTCATAGAATTTTTCCTTGCGTCGGCGTCAGGGCTGCTCATCGGCGGAGCGTAGGCGCTGATGATGATGGTGAATTTGCCCCCCCCTCCCCGCCGGAGACGCAGACGGAGGCTCACCAGGCGATCGTTGATGCCCTGCGGCAGGCTGGGCAGTCGTCCCACGATGTCGTTCCGAATGGCGAAGGCGACACTCGAGTCTCGTTGCTCTGCCCTATGACGATCGCTTCAGATGAAGGCATAGCCGGCTCGCATCTACTCCAGTTGACCTTGCTTAGAGAACCGAGTCTCGCTGAGTGCAGCATCGTCCACCTTGTAACGCGCCAATTCCCGATCCATAAAGGGAAATTTTTATTTGTCGAAATCACACGCAAAGACTAAGAATTGAACCAATCTTTCCAGAAAGATACTCATCTTCTCAGCTGAATGTTCATCTGTCCAGTCATTATATTAACATTGAGAAGTCAATCAGTCTTATTTCTCTGAAATGCAGTTCGATCAATCCCTTTATTTCTAATTCCCCCTCCCACGCTCGAAATCTCTAGCCATCTTTTTCTGCCTCCAGATCAATAGCAGCCGAATTTGTCGTCTCTAACTTTCCTGAGAACTCTTGCGGACAGTGCATGATTTCGTTTAAGTCAACTATACCGTCAGCTTCCCCATTTAAACGTAGTCTGCCGCGTTTCCTCTTTAAATCATTTCAGAGATGGCGTGAAAACGGGATTAGAAAACTAAATCCCTCTTTGTGTCAGACGAAGGGCAGCTTAATTTCCTTTGGTGAAACGTTGCCTTTTTACGTTTACGAAGACTTTGCACTCCAATTCATCTATAAACCCCATACATCTATTTACAACTTCAAATAGTTCCTTGTTCGGCACAAGGGATAACAAACAACAACCTATTATTTTTTCGGTCAATGCTCCTTGCCTGAATCGCCCTTATTCCTCTTACCTCCACCCGGGTTCAGGTTTCCAGACACCTACGGTCAGTAGTGCTTGCGCGAGTCTCTTTAAATCCTTTAACCCTCATCGCAGCCCTAGTTTCCCACAAATTAATTCTGACGGCTTACCCTAATAGCCTCTGTCTCCCTTTATTATCCCCACTTTCCATGGCAATTATCAGCAATGTTATCCTCATTAAAAACCTTATATGATGATATGAGAAAATTGTATCCTTGTATATTACGAATCTCTGTCTCAGCCTAGTATTGTTGGCTCTTATTCTGCCAATACTTCTGAGACCGTTGGTACTTATTCTTCAAAAAAATTTGCAGCCCTCTTATCCACACCCAGGCTGTTTTTCTTTAAACGATGCTGACAATCGACACACATCTCTGAATACATTAAATATTATACCACAAAGGTGGCAGTTCTGTTATAACTATGTTGTCCTAACCTAGAGCCGTTGTTCTCGGAACAACGCTCGATATTATATACACTATCGAATCTTGGACACACCCTCTGATTCCTGACTCTTCCCCCTTCATAGATTATTTCGATGTCTACTGTCCAGGCCGCATAAAAAGGCGCGAGAGCGATTGTCTTCTTTACAATAGGTGTTCCTCAAACCACCGCCTGTACGATTCATATTCTCCTTCGTCTTTTGGAAATTGCCGCTTCACATCGATTATTCTCTTGACTGAAAAGGCTATTATCGGCGAAACCCGTAATTCACCTGTCGCGTCGTCCGAAAATGATGCACAGATATGCGAAATTTTGAAAATACTCTTGCGATCTGCCATGTTGGAGATCTTAACTTTCTTGAGGCAGATGGCCTTTCGAACGTCTCTCCACTCAGATTTTAGACTTTACAAGATATTGCTAATTTTGCTAACTGGAGTCAACTTGACCTCGGTTTAACACGAGACATGCACTGTATAGATCTGATCTTTGCAAATGACGCCGTTCTCCTTATCGTCGCTTTCAAACAGGACCTTTATGATGACGACGATGTTTTAATCCACTGTTGCATTACGCTTGTATTTTTTAAAAAAGACCAGCACATTTCGAACCTGCCCAGATCGTCATTTCATGATAAACGATTCAATAAACATCTCTCTTGGAGCATTGGATTAACATGGCACTCTAGCTTTTACTGATGCAACGGTCCGCTGCGAAGTCCTGCTGGTAGTTTTTAAAGGTATCTTCGAATTTCTGTCTAGTCGATTTCCCAGGCCCTGATCTTCTGATACGATTGCTCGGTACGAAATCCAAGTTGAAACATTTTATGAAACTTATCTCACCAATAAACCTATCCTGCAGTAATGTTGGTAACAGGGTCTGTAGGTGTGGGGCCTCTGGAATGGCCCAAATGTCAACAGATAAACTGTGTGATAATGAAAACATCACATTTCTGAGAACTTCAGAGTTATGGTACCAATGTCACAACACTTGATTCTCGGCGAATCAAGTGGTGCGACACAAGAATCATGCGTTTGCAAATATCATCAGTACAGGCACATCCAAACTAACGAAGAAATCAGTCCGGTCGGGAGAATTCAGGAGCGTTAGGAAGCGGTCCTAATGAGCTTGTAAGAAATTCGAAAGGAGTTAGTTTTTGGAGTAAAATTCCATAAGCTTCAAAACCTCATGTAGAAACCGTTAACTGAATCAAGAAATGTCAATGTCAAAAGTAGGTAGCTTCTATACAGCATTAAATAAAGCATACTTGGTCCTCGAGCTGGGACATCGACGACCTGATATCAAGTGCCACTAATTGCAGTTTTAAGAAAGGTCTCGAACTTTGTTTCGTCGGAAAGTGGAAATTAGTATATTACAGGAAGATGAAATACATCCCCAACCGATGGTTTGTTTGATTTAGGTAATATGCCCGGCGCTTAATTTGATTTCTCTCAGCAGACAGCTTGACATCTCGGGCCCACGTGCTGCAAGATGGTTAAGAGTTGCAGAAGTACGTTGCCATATCCATTACTTTTCTCTTAGAAAACAAAAGCAAGCGCATAACGTGCCATAAAAGATATAAGATAATTAAAAAGGTGTGTATGGTTCTGTTGATTCTTATTCTAAAGGTCCGCGAACATCATCGGAAAGTCCGGCGTGAGCAGCGAAATAACCCTCAGAAATTCAGACGTTCGTTCGCATATTTTATTTACAAAATTTAAGGCAAAGACCCTGGGATTCCAAACAGTTTGCCTTTCAAAGAGGAGATTTTAAAACATGTCATTGAGACGAAGGAGGTATCAAAACGTCATTTGTGCCTATGCTCTTAGCGCGAGGCTCAACGCCGCATTGAGTTAATGAAACGTGCCAGAAGCTTACAATCAA